GTGCACCCAGTACCTGGGCACTTCCAGGATGCTTCAAGAAGATGGGTGTTTGCCATTCCTGACTTTCCTGGGATTAATTTTTGTCTATAGCCCTTGTCACAACCAACCTTGGGAGCATTACTAGATCTGGTGGGGGGAGGTCTTTCCCTTAAGAAACTTTTTTTTTCTGTCCTGTGAGATAAATTGAAGGCTATCTAACCCTTCTCTCCAACTGGTATTATCTGCATTGAGTTGTACAGAAATTCATTTAACTGGCTGGTATGTGAATGGAATCCTTTCTTTTTCCTCCTGTTTTGAACAGTGACAGATTTTTTCTATCATTATTATTTTTATTTTTTTTATTTTCAGCTGTTTCAGTGGGACTTTGGGAGAGAGGCAGGATGGGAAGTCCAATATGAGAGTCTGAATGTCCACCACAGAATGGAAGTTTTCCTTGCACTTTTCATAATCTCTTTAGACAAAGCCCCTTTCCCCTCACAGACCTACAAAATGTACAGGCCCCTCCTGTCACTACTAATCCCTCCTGTTTGGAGAACAAGAACATTTTCTCCTCTATCAGCTCTATGCTTTTTTTCTGGGCTCCCTATTAAAAATAGTTGGGTTATTCTGGTTTTGTCTTTCTCTGTCTCATAACTTCTCTCATAATTTTTTTCCTTTTTCTCTGAGCTTGGGGGAAATTTTTTGAGTTTCTCAGACAGACTAACCCATCACTAAAAAATAAATTATTAAGCCCCCTTCGCAGCTCTCAATATTTCTTTGCTTTCTCCATCCTCAATTCTTTATATTTTCCTTTCCCTGTCTGTCCTTTCCTTCACTCGATCATTAGTGTTACTTGCCTAGGGATTTCTAAGCACTTGATTTAGGACTGTCCCCAAGGCACCCTGAGGATTCTGGCAGGCAGTCTTCCCAGTCTTCAGAATGTTGTGACTGAGGCTGAGGCTGCTGGGACTGGGATGACAGCAGTAAAGACACAAGGACAGAATTGAATGCACAGCTCTTCCTCCTCCAGATGCACTTCATGGAGTGGTTTGGAGGGAGCTGTGTCGAACATGTTGGGTACCTCTAATGCACCCAGTCATCTAAGCAGTTCACGAGCTGTATAAGAGGATAATGCCTTTAGTCACAGCAGCCTTGTGGTAATGTCCAGTCTTGATTCAGCCTAGTGCCTTGATAGCCTGGAGCTGCTTGGACCACCCATGGAACCATCAACCTCCAGACCTCAATATTGAGTGTTAGGGCCATCCTGTTATATCCCTTGAGAATATCTCAAGGGATATACAAGCTTCGTATACAACTTCGATGTGCATTCCGAAGGCAGACCTGAGAGCTGGGGAGATGGGAGATGTTAAGCAGGTCATACCAGTCTTTGGACAACAATGGCCAGAAATATCACCCCAGTTGCTGAGGACAAAGCAAATGCTTATGGCTCCTTACCCCACCCACTGTGCTGGTGATGAAAACTGTAAAAATAGATTAAGCATAAGGTTTCCTATTTTTCCTTCAGCTAGAGATAAGGGGTACATTAATAGCCAAGTCTTCACAGTGAGCTGATACTTGGACAATACCTTACTTTGAATTAGATTGCTTTTCCTAAATCCTTTAACATATTAAAATCTCACTCTGCCTAAACACAGTTCTTCAGAGTCCTTTATAAATCTCTCTCACTCTCTCTCATACACAAATGACATCTGACTTTTGCCCCCCTGCTGTGCTAGGACCCCCCCCCCCCTCCTGTTTTCCCTCTGAGCCTCACTGTCTGCTGCTGCCACCAAGAAATGAGCTGCAGTGCACTGAAGCCCTCCCTGGTCACTGCTCTCTGAGGCTTGTCTGCAATTCCTGCAGTGCTATGGCCCATGGCTGTCCTTCCTTCCTAAGACTGTCCAGGCTATTACTCACCAATGTCTTGGGTAATTGCCGATCTGAATGGTGGCTGGCCTGAATCAGGGAAGACTCCCGTGCTGGTTTCCCGCAGTCATGTCTACAGATGAATCGGGTTGGAGGGGGAGGCTGATTACAGTGAAGAAGGGGACTCTTTAAACACACCTCTGTAAGAAGTACGTAGAAGAAAGGAAAGAGAAAACCGACAGTGGGACTTTACTGGCCTGAGTCAAACATAACATAGTTCTAGTTTTTTGCATGCGGAGGAGAAGCTGTGATTGGCTTGTTACAGCAGGGGTTCTGCTTGAGCTCAGAGCCAGGTGAAGAAAGCATGTGTAAAGGCAGCCCAGGCAGATTCCTAGTGAGAAGCCCACCTATTCATTATGCTCCATGTCCACACAGAAACAGGACCTTCAGTGGCCAAGCGAGACAGCTACAGTGCCTGTAGCTGCAGGAATGCACCCACGTTTCTATATAGCCTCCAGGGCTATGACTGGAATTTCACTCAGTTCAGGAAGCAGGTATTCCACATTGCTAAAATGCAAAAGCATCACACCACCCTTTAAGAAAAAAAACAACTCTTGCCCTAAATCGCATTCTGTAAATTTTTTCCCTGCTGCTGTTACAGCACAGACAGAGAAACAACTTCATGGCTCCTGTGGAACTTTCTCCAGCAGGAAGGAGTGCTCATGTGTATGCATAGGTATACATGTACCAGCAAAGTTCTGATGTGGAGGTGATAAAATAAAGGTCATGGTAGTAAACTGAGAGAAGGAAAAAGTGTAGCTACTGAGGAAGTTTTCTTTAAACCACAGCTAGATTTGTTGATAATAAGTACTGTGCTAAGCATGCAAAAAAGTTTTTGCAGTTAGTCCTCACAGCAATCCAGTGAGTTTAGTTTTATCCTGATTAAAATGCAGAAACTGAGGCAGCGTAGCATAGGTGCCGACACATAGGCCTCAGAGCCCGCTCGTTTTGCTTTCAAAATTGGGCTCTGCCATTTGCTGGCTTTGTAACTCTGGGTAAGTCACTAAATTCTCTAGTTCTCAATTGTTTTTATATTAAAGGGAGGTGAAATCTATCTCATGAGTTTATTGTGTGGATTAATGAGATACACAAGGTGCCAGGGGCAGAGTGTTAATATTTTAGGACATTAGGTGTCCTCCTAGTTTTATAAATAAATGCTCCAAATTATTTCAGTTCACTTTACAACAAATGCTGTAGACATTGTTAAAAACCCAACCCTTGATTATCTGTTTGACTTGAATAAATTGAAAGGTTTATAAAACTATAGATATGGACTGGCTCTTGAAAATGTTGGGGGAATCAACAATGTCCAAACATTAGAATGTGCTTCGATTTGGATGCTCTCTAGTTTACAAGATGGCAGATTATGTCCTGACTTTCCAATCCTGATGGGGACCTGCTCACTGGCTTGATTCTGCTGCCACTTTCCACCACCCTTGACTTTGTGTGGAGGCAGAGAAGGGGAAACTGCTGAACCTGACTCTCACCAGCTTGGACAGCCAGACCTCAGCCGCAGTGAACTTGACTGTGTGTCCCAGCAGGAAGCAAGGTGACAGGTTCACTCTGCAGTCCCAGAGAAGATCCTGGAGAACAGGAGAACTTGAAGAATTATTGATTTCTTCCCTCTTGCAGCCACAGCCCGCTAATCTATGGATGAGACAGATAAGCCATCAGAACAGGTCAAGACCCGTCTGAAGGAGATGGACATAGATGCTTGAAGGGAGACAGGGACCACTTACTAAAGAGACTATGCCCTATACATGCATGGGTGTGGACATAGGTACCCCTAGGACTTACCATGAAAACTCTCACCATGGATCATTAAGGGTTGAGAGAACAGCAAAGTATCCTCTGACGTAGGTAGTGAAAGGAACGGTTTCTCAAAGTAAATTTACACTCTTTTCGAAATCCTTTTCTACACTATTTCCTGCTAAAACATTGAAGCCAATGGCCTGGTGCTTTCTGATAAAAAAAAAACTAGGCCTCTGAGCCCATATGAAACAATCTTAGCAAAAGCAGCCCTGAGAGTCTGATCCTTGGGCCAAGGAAACAGCAGGAGATTTCCTCCTGCCCCCAACCAAGGAGAAGAGGTTTATCCAGCATAGCTAGGCTGGGTGGGTCCGGGAGAGGGTAGGTAAAGAGAATTAGTCCCTGAGCTCAGGGCATCTGCAGAATACCACTGGTCACTGCCTCTTGGGGGCATACGATTCCCAATGGGCAGTCCCCAAAGAACCAAGGAACCCATGGGTCTTCCATTCTTGTCTAGGATGTCTTTCCTCTGTCCCCTCCATTTCCCTCAATTCTAGCACCAAGGGCCAGCTCAAGGCCACAGATCCTGAAAGGGCCACCCAGGTAGTTCCAGCACATTCACCCCTCTCTCAGGGAGCACTTGTCAGCATGCTATCCCACTCCTGGCTTCAGCTGCCTATCCCAGGGTGGGCTGGGGGTAGTGATAAACAGGTGCCCCTTAAACAGAGAGCCACCGTCATTATCAATCCCAGGCCAACATGGACAAAGACCCGCTGATCTTAATGTGCCTGCCTGGGCTCGCAGGGTGGCTCTGCTCAGGCCGTTAAGTGTCCCTAAAATCAAGTTATTCGACTGGATGGGAGCGCAGGTAAGCAACGTGGTTTAACATATTCTTCGCTGATTCTAGGGAGCACTTTCCCTAGGCCAAGCCTTTGGCAGGCAGCCGGATAAGCTCACAGGTCAGGTCGGTTCAGGGCTGCGTCCCAAGTCCCTTGCTCTGGCGATCCCCTGCAGAGGCAGTGGGCACAGGTGATCCCGGCCGGGCGGCTCTGCTCCGCCGCCTAGAGCCTAGAAGCTGTCACTGCGCCTGGGGACGCTCTGGCTCCGCAGCAGGCACCGACCCCTGGCTCAGAGGCCGGGGTCGCACTGCCCAGCGAGTGAGTATGAGGGTGGTGTTCGAAGTCAGAAGCTTCCCGCCTTTTCGGTGGCCTGGGTGACAGGCTCCTGCGCTGGCTCGGAGAGTCCCTGATCGCCCCGCCCCACCGCCCGCGCCCTGCCTGGTGCGTGTAGCGTCCCCGCCTCCAGCCCCAATCCCCCACCTCCTATGCCCTTAGAGGGGCACCCTCGCTGGGGCTGGAGGGTGGTCCGCCGCGCCCTGTCCCCGAGTGGCGGAGAGGTGACGGTAACCGCCTTCCCATTTCCGCCTAGCAGACAGCTTAGTAGCCAAAGCGCTTCGGCCAGCTGAGCTCTTGGTCCTGCCTCCGCCCGCCCGCGCAGGGGCTGGCCTTGCCTCTCCGGCGCCTTTTTCCCCCCGGCACCGCAGCGCCGCTTCGCCACTCGGGCACCGCAGGTAGGGCAGGAGGCTGGAGCGCCTGCTGCCCACTGCCCGTAAAATGGTCACCTCGGCTGGACAGCTCGCCCTGTTCGCGCTGGGTATGTACGCTGCCGGCTGCGCATCCCCTGCCTTCGGCGACACCCCGCTTTCCCCTGTCCCCTTTATTTCTCTTTCCCGGGGATTTTCTTTGCCCTCCTAGAAGAGTGGAGCAAGGTTAATGCTTTTCCAGGGTTGGAGGCTGAAAGGCAAGGGGAGAGGATAGGGCTTACTAGGGATCTGGGGCGCCCATTCCAAAGAGGGCGATCGTCGAACACCCAGGCTTTGCCCGAGAAGTGGCCACCTGGGGCGAGTGTGAGAACGCTGCCCGGGAGGGGCAAGCGGTGTGTGTTCAGGCTTGAACTTTAATGTGCCGCGTCTGTGTGTGTGTTCACTTACCCACACCTACCTGCTTACCTGGCTGCCTCCAAGCCCGTGTTTCCCCGCGTCAGTAGCTTGTCGACTCGCAGAGGGAGACCAGCGTCCGACCCTCCATTCAGACCTTGCTGCTTCCCTTTGGTACCCGCCGCTTTCACGGTCAGGGGAGTGCCCTCAATCTTCTAACTTCTAGAGCTCTCGAGCTTTGGGGTAGATTCTGGATTTTTGTGCGGATTAATTGTTCTTTTAATTAAGTTCCCTTGGAGAAGTAGTTTAAGAGTCAGCCGAGGGCAGGAGTGAAACCCTAGACGGAGAGGTGCCAATTTCCTTTGAATTTGTTCTTGGACGGGAACAAGGTATGGGTGGGGGAAGGGAGGGGGAAGTTAAACCCCCGCGCTCCGGGTCAAATCTGCGGAGCAGGTGAGTTTTCAGCGGTGGAGTTCGCAGGTCAGTCTGTAAGTGATGAGGGGCGCTGTGCGGTGCACCGCCTGGCCGGCTCTGAACTCTCCGGAGCCAGGTCTGTCCAGTGTGAAGATAGTGATTAAACAGCCCAGGTGTCCTCATTATCACCATAGCTTCTGTAAAATGAATTGTTCCGTGGTTATTCCCTGAGTTTAACCCTGTAAAGCAAGTTGCTTAATACATCTGAGCCTGAGAAAAGCTGTGGAACACCTCCTCTTAAATGCCCAGAGGCACAGCCTTGCTCAGTTTCATGTACAGTTTCAGGGGGTTCGTGGACCCGCCTGTAATCTAGCCCATGAAGGGCTGGTTAAGAGCTGCAGCAGACTGTGAAAGGCCGTTTGAGGACTGCAACAGACGAGCAGGAATCATCTGAGGGAGGTAGGGAGCAGTGTGGAGCGGATGCTCCTGCAGAAACTGGCCAACAGGTGGCATGATTATGGATGGCTGTTCTGATTATAGACGTTTTTAAAGCAATAAAACATTATCAATACAATAAAAGTCGTCTATATGCAATTTCCCTGTGGCAATTTTCTTTGCAAATTCTAAAAGTGAAAATAATGGCTTGAACATTTTTCTCTGTGTCAGGCACTGTGCTAAGTGATTGACATACTAACTCATTTACTTTTCACACCAACCTGATGAAGGAGGAATTATTACTCCTATTTTATACAAGGAGAAAATGAAGCACACAGGGCCCACAGTGAGTTAGTTGGGCAGGGATCGTTAAAGTGTGCAAGGAATGTGGCTCGGAAAAGTCCCCTAACTGTGGGCTCTGTACCCCCATCGCCCAGATTTGGGGTTTTGCCTTGAGGAGAGATTCTGTTGGATACTCTGGAACTTGCTGTTAAATACTCTTGAATTCCTAGGACTTCGTGCTGTTCTTAAATTATTCAGTGAAAAAGTAGAGGCAGGAAATGACAAAGGTAAACATTTTTGAGGATGCCTTTTGAACATGGTCTCCCCCACTCCCCATCACAGTGTAATGGCCCATGGAGACTGCGTTCTTTCATCATTCACTTTTTCTTTTAGCCTAAAAGTTCAACTTGATCTTTGTTTCCTTCTTTAAGAAAAAGATGTATAAACTTAAAAGACTGATTAATATGTAAAAACTGGCTCATATAATTCCAAAATATGAGCAGTTTTGGGGGGAAAGTCAAGGAAAAAGAAGGCAAAAGTAATTTTAATTTACATCAGTGAGGTTTCTTTTTATTTAAAAAGCATCTACTAGAACCTCTGCCTCCCATCTCACTTTCTGCTAGACCACTAAATACACATTAATGCCACGTGCATTTTAATTTGCACAGTTCCTTCAGAGCTGCTTTCCTCTCTAATTTTCTTTTCTTTTTTTTTTTTCCTGTCTAATTTTCTTAAAATAACAGAAGGCAGCTTCAGGCACATCTGCCAGGGTTCCATAGCTAACCAAGATCTAGAAAACCAAGACCTATCCCCTCCTTCCCCTTTTTCACAGGGACACTCTGAGAAGGAACCAGTTAATGCTCCTGAGTACTTGGAACCTGAGCATTGATTGATGTTTTGGCAGAGAGAGTGTGGAGCCTGTTGATTAAATGGCAGCCCTGGAAAGCAGTCCAGGCTCCTGTGGTGGTGGCCCTCCGTGTCAGGTTTCCATGGGAGGCAGACCTCACAGGGGCCTGTCACCTCCAGTCCCAACTCCTCCCTTCATGTCCAGAGAGTAAGATGTATAACCTTGGACAAGTTACTTCACTTCTCTGTGCTTTGCTCTTCTTACCTCTAGAATGGTGATATCAGTACCATTGCTGGATATATTTAATGAGCATAGAATGGTGCCTGGCATGCAGTAAGAGCTTAATCAACCTCAGTGCCATCAGGCTATCACTGTTGTTAAATGAGCCCCACAGCATTTCATGGCAGGCTATGCCAATTCTGTAAGTTGGGAGAGCATCTTACTTCCCTCATCTCCCTGCTCCCCGTCCTTCTCAAGCCAGAAAAACCAAGTGATTTTTGTGAATATCATTTGGCAGATGACAAATGCAAGTAACTTTGGGGGTTCTTTTGGACATTTTGAATTCTTTAATTTTTTGATGCAAAATATTTGTAGTTCCTTCATAACATATAATGCTCAGTTGTTTACTGAATTCAGTCCTAAGTTCCAGTTTTCTCACCTGTAAAGTGAGAATAAAATTGTACCCATCTCATAGCTTGTTAGGAGAATCAAATGAGATGAAGATATGGAAGCTATGTATAAACTATAAAAATAAAGGGTTACACACACAATGAAATTGATTTTATAATACAGGAATATGTTTTATAATTCAGAAATAAACATTATTATTTTTCTAGTAGCTTTCGGAAGTAGGGCTGGACGTCAGCCTAAAGAAGGACATCTTAGGACACGAAGTGTCACTAAGAACATGTAGAGATGAAACAGGTCAGCTTCCCTGTGGCTTTGGGACAGGGACCAGTAGGGGGCATGAAGGAACATGTTTCTCCAGTACATGGAAGTTATGTCTTTCAGTGTAGACAGTGGGGGTTGGCCCAGGACGTAGGTTTTCCTTATTGGGCAGGCATAATGAGGGAAAGTTCCCTTAGAACAGGGCTCTCCAACCTCTCTCCTCCTTGTCCCTGGACTCAGCTCTCAGTACCACTAAGCTCTGCCTCCTGTCACCTACCCACTCTGCCCCCGACCCCAGTCCATGGAAAAATTGTTTTCCATGAAACCGGTCCCTGATGCCAAAAACGCTGAGGACCACTGATAGAACATGGCTGTGAAAGTGTATATAGAAGGCTTTGAGTCTGAGTCTCCCATATTTGCTTTTCCAAAATTTGATTTCCTGGAGGTTTCTCTGTTATATTCAATGTCCCCTGCAAAGGGAACCTTTCTGGTAGACGTAAATGAGGCTTTATGTTACTATGGTAACATACAAAAAATAGGTGACTTTTCCCATTAGCCCTATCTCTGAGGGCCTTTTGAAAGTGTGTTTGAACAGGGACCTACTCTTTGGGCTGCCCACTGAAGGAGGTGGGCAGTGGGAAGTCGAAGTTGGGTCAGCCAAGTGGGAATAGCCTGAAACACTAAACTGGGCATTTTGTACTTGGTTTCACATGCAAACCTCAGTCGTATCTTCCACAGCAGTGTCCTCAAATCACAACCACCTGGAGGGTCTGGTAACCAGATTGCCAGGCAGGAAGTGGGAGAGTTTGCGTGTCCAACTAGTTCCCAGGTGCGGCTTTGCTGCTGGTGGGGAGGACAGGGGAGGGACACTCGGAGAAGCACTTGCTCTTCATTCAGTTGCTGTTAGAGAAGCTTCTGTCTTAACTAATTGTATTTTATCTAAAAGTACATTCTGACATGTTTAAATGCCACTGTGGATTTATGAGCCATTATTAAAGGTACTTTTACAGCCTGTCTTGTTGACCAGGGCAGAGTGAGAACTCTTGCTGAGATCTCTTTATTGTTCTGAGTGTTGCTATACTTTCCCCAGGGGAAATGTGATGATCCCATGTTATTAGACCTAAGTTGACCAACGCTAATCATGTCACTTTTTTGGTTTCGGATTGTTAGAATTAACCATTCTTTTGCTGCCATTTCAAATACTTTTATTTATTTTTAAAAGAAAATAGATAGATAGATAGATAGATAGATAGATAGATAGATAGGAAGGGAATGAGAAAGAAAGGGAGAAAAATATCAGTGTGTGGTTGCCTCTTGTGAGCCCCCTACTGGGGACCTGGCCTGCAACCCAGGCATGTGCCCTGACTGGGAATCAAACCAGCGACCTCTTGGTTCACAGGCTCGCACTCAACCTATTGAGCACGCCAGCCAGGGCTCAAATACTTTTAAACACCTCATTTTAAAGTATTGCATTGGCCAAAAAGTCCATTACAGTTTTTTCCATAAAATATAAGACTTTAAAAAATTTTTTCACCAATAGCTTTATTGACTTGGGTATTTTAATTATGTTTGCTATCTCCCACTATTGGGTTTTAGTGGGTAGAGGCCAGGGTGCTGCTAAACATCTTCCGATAAATAAGACAGCCACACAGCAAAGAATTATTTAGACAAAATATCAGTAGTACCAAGAAATTTTGCAGACCACTTTTGACACATTCGACTGTTAACAGCACTTCATACACTGCACAAATCGTTTTTTGCATTTTAGTTGTGTTTTTACCTTTCTTGAAATAATAAAGCATAATAAGCTGAAATGTTTTGTATTTCCTTCCATCTTCAGCAGTGAAATTG